AGATGTATAATGTTATGAACTTAGAGCTACTTAGGATAAATGAATGTAGTTTCATGTTACAATTTGAAGTCTTTTTAGAAAGAAAAAATGGTTAGTTTAGGTTTATTTAGGTGGTTACGAGGTGAGTAGAGTTGACTGATCCCGTTTTGAGATTAGGGTAGAGAAAGTAACAGATAAACTATAAAGTTTTACTGAAAAAAAAAAACGTTTGAAATTCATTTAGGAGGTTTTAGGGATTGCACAAAGTTAATTTGATATTTTTGAGATGAGGAAAAGTATTTTTAATTTTAACATGAAAATTACTTTGCACACGGACTATTCAAAACAAATACTCAATATACTCATGGCCAAATCTTTTTTTATTTTATTAAAAATACTTCACTTAGAAATATGTTTTTGTATGTGAAAGACTTCTAATATTAACTGAAAGTTATAAGTATTAAATCTATAAAGACTTTAAACGAGTACAAAAAGGTCGCGTGGTCAGTCAAATTGACCGAGCCCATGTTGAGAGTGTTAATGTAATGGGTGATAAATCCTGGGACATTGCAGGTTCCCAATGAATAAAAAGCCAGTTTCCTAGGGACCCTGAATGGTTCTGTATGAGCCACATAACATCTAAGTGCTCTGACTGGACACACCAAATGATTTGGGTCTAATCGACTGTAAAGATGAGAAATGTCTGGTAAATGAACAGGAGAAAAGGATTTATTCCCTTCTCTGGCATCGAGTGTTTTTGGTAGAAAGGATCTGTCCGGATAGAGCAAAACATAGATGTAATGATAGAGAGTCCACTGAACATGGATGGCAAATAAATCAGAACAGCTGTGTCTGGAAACTAACAACAATAAAAAATATACCTTGAGGGAAAGATGATACAATGAACAGGAGGCCATAGGTTCGAAGGGATGACATGATAATGCATGTGAAACAACCCTAAAGGCTCAATTAGGCAATTGAAAAGGTCGTTTGGGTCGAAGAATATGAAAGGATCATAAGAGATGAGATAGCATAGAAGAGTCAAAAACCTTCCTACACTTAGGATATCGAAAAGGTAGCAGCTCAAAAAATCCACATAAAAAAAATGTGATACTATGGAGACTGTTGGATGAAGTGGGTTGAAAGCTCTCCGAAGACACCACTGACAATTTGTAGCCCATTTCTGTTGATAGATTGCTATAGTAGCTCGACGGAAATATTTAGTCAAATAAACAGAAACTTTAGAAGTTAAACCCCTAAGTCAGGCAAAGGACCGCATAAATGCCATGCATGAAGCTTGAGCAGTCGAATGTCTGGGTGATGAATGTTGGACCAAGGTTGTCTCCATAAGGATGGGTGAAGAAGTAGTGGTGGACATTCCTGGAGCAAGCGAACACAATGTTTAGATGTCAAAGAACAAAGGAAGATGGAGATTGAGAAATAGCTATAAGTGGCAGTGGAGGTATGCATGTTTTGGAATAACTGCTAAATTTATTTTTTATGCACATCTTTTATTTATTGATATATAATTTTTTACAAAAGTTACTAAAATATAAAAATAGAAAACTATTAGATTAGATACAAAGAACTTTAACGAAAAACTAAATAACTTTTTTCACCTTGAGAATTGCATAAGGAATATACATAATCAGACATTGCATGATGTAACTTGAAATTCTGTTCAACCTCTTTGATTTTCACAAGATGTGAATTGTTACAAGTTTGAAGCTGATTAGGATAAACGACTGTAATTTTCTGTTACAAACTGTGTAAGTTTAGAAAAAAAAATGGTAATTTAGATTTGTCTCATATATTCTTCTTGTGGTGGTTACTAGGTCAGTGAAATGGGCTGAATCCATTTAGTGTTAAGATAGAGAAAATAACAGATAAAATATAAAATTTACTGAAAAAAAAACTTTTGATGTTCATTTAAGAGGTTCTATAAGTTATATGAATGAAAATTGAAATTGTAAAAGAAAAAAAATGTATTTTTATTTTTAACATGAATATCACCTTGCACTCAGACTAGGCAGAGACTCAGTCTGACTAAAGTAAATTCAAAAACAAATTTTTAATAGAAATATTTTATTAAAAATTCAAATTTCTTGTGTACAACATACTTGTAATGTTTACTAAAAGCTTATCATATTTTGTGAAGATATATTAAGTAAAATTAAAATTATAGAATTTATAGTAAATATTAATTTTTCCGATACAGGTTCGGCCCAATGGACTGACCATGTGCTTGTATGGTTAATGGAGAAGTACCAAGTTTACGATAACCTGTATTGAAAATTTATCTACTTCTTATAATAAGTTCTTAAAAAAGGACTTCTGCAAGAAGTGTCCATAGTTAATAGTAAATTACAGTTTATAAATGAACATTTTTTTTTTGTGACATCTTTCCATTGAAGCATTTTATTCCAGAAACAAACAGGCAGTTCAAATATATAATAAACTAGCATGATCACCAACAGATCTTAGTTTAAAATTATATATTTCTTCATCACAGGACATCATAAACTGATTTTCTTCAACACAGTTTATAACAACACATCATATGAAAATAAATGTATCATAATTTAACACATTAAGTATTACATTATCACAATTGTTATTACATAGAAAGAAAGCATAATCTAAATTAGATCTAGAAGACTGAAAGAGGACATTATTTTATTTCATTCTTAAAACAAAACAATTATTTATAAAAAAAATATTAACAACAACTAAATAAAAGCTCTGATTACCTTGTTAATAATGACTCCAAAGTTTTAGGACATCCTTTAATTAGTGGAGGTCTTCTACCTGGAAAAAGAGAAAATTAACTCCTAATGTATTTATAAACTTGACCAGAGGAAAAAAAACGAGTATGATATGTTTCAAATGATATCAATTATGCTACAAAATATGCTCAATTTCAAGCATCACTAAACTTGACCAGAGGAAAAAAAACGAGTATGATATGTTTCAAATGATATCAATTATGCTACAAAATATGCTCAACATCAAGCATCACTAAACTTGACCAGAGGAAAAAAACGAGTATGATATGTTTCAAATGATATCAATTATGCTACAAAATATGCTCAACTTCAAGCATCACTAAACTTGACCAGAGGAAAAAAAACGAGTATGATATGTTTCAAATGATATCAATTATGCTACAAAATATGCTCAACTTCAAGCATCACTAAACTTGACCAGAGGAAAAAAACGAATATGATATGTTTCAAATGATATCAATTATGTAACAAAATATGCTCAACTTCAAGCATCACCTAAAACTAAATCCAGTTTAAGTCTTCTCATATTCTCCACTTAGAAAAACAAAAAATGTTCATATGTACTAGAGGAGTTTCTAATATAAAAATTATAATTTTCTGAACAAACATTTGACAGTTAAGTGAGAATTTTGTTTGCCAATTATCTTGAAGACAAATTTAAATGGCTGCATAAAGACATTAAAAATACGAGACTTTGAACGATTCACTAAAGAAACTATATGAACAGTTTGTGAGGCTAGACAAGAAGTTCAGTGAAAATAAAGATTATTTTAAAAGTTAAAGTTGATTGAAAAATTGTTGACAAGACTGAGTGAACATAATGCAAAACTTTAAAAAATAGTTTTCAAAAATTCATGCACTTGTATTCTCAAATTGGTTTTGGAAGTCAATGCAGTAAAACAGAAAAATTACATTGATACAGAACTGCGAACATTTATGTGCATAGTGCAGAAATAAGTCAAATTAAAACTGCACAAGGAACTCTGACAAGTGCCAATAGAAATAAAAATTACAAGAATAAGGTTAACTAGACCTTGCAAAGTTCATACAATGTTGTTGAACAAATAAAACAAAAACAAACATTAGAGCACAAAACATGTTTATTACACATTTTGGAATAACAAGGATTCCATCATCAGTAATCTACAGAAATGAGAACAAATAATTACAGTAACAAATATACAAACATAAATAACAAATAATAAGTACAAATTTAAATCGTATATGTTCTAATTTATGTAGATAACTGACCTACTAATGACAGAATCCTTGATAACCTGAAATATTTAATACACACGCTTTGTGTCCTTATAATCATATTTATTGTGTGATATAGCTACCTTTTTGCAGATGAATTAATTAATATTTATGTATTTTTTATATACTATTTACATATTTATAAAGCTTTCAAAACAGCTCTTCATTTTAAATATATAGTGTTTTAGACATGTAAAATGTGAAAGGAAACATTTCACCTCATATTAAAAACAACAGCTGAAACATGACCAGCTGAGTACTAAGGCTTCCCTCTGTAAGAACTCTAACCAGTAAGCTAGCTATGTCAATTGGTAAGGAATATCTTCACACAGAGTTTTATATGTATTTAGTTGAATACAGCTTGGCTACTCAAGTACTTTTAATAACTAAAACTAGGATAATCTCTCAATTCACACAAACATTCAGCTTTGCTTTCTTCAAACAAAAATGAGATATAAAGGAAAATGTTTAGACCTACAACAAAATGATGGTATAAACCTAACACCAATTATAATTTTCTTTTTTTAAATAAAAACTACCACCATGAAACCTTATAGGAGTCTAAATTCTATTTCTCCTTAAACTAATGTCTCATTGAATGTTCTCACCCAGATTGTGATCTTCAAAGAATATAAGACTAAAAAAGTTTAAATTAACAAAGTTCATGATAAATTTACTCAAGAGTATGACATGCATATTCAAAGAAACTGATGTATTACAAAAATATTTTATCTACACTCAAAGCTTTAAAGGATGATGAAATATCAAATAAATCTGACACAAAAATGTTGCCACTACTTTAAAGTACTATATAATCCCTTATGTTTACCCATGTTCCTTAATTTGAAATCATTAAAAGTTAATTTAATGTGTTTGAATAATCTATCTTAAAGTATTCTCCACTGTCATAACATCTCAAAACATTTTATAAAGAAAACCTTACCAAGAGTTAAAATTATTTTAAAATTGAAGTCCATCTTCTCTACAAGTTATTCAGTACATGTTAACATTTACATTACCAATGAATTAGTATGCCAAAGTGTGTGGAAATTCTTTTTGTACAGCCATCATCGGGTACAGGTTTAAATTACCTCACATGTTACTGAAAATGTTGACCATATTCTTTTAAATAAATCTAATTTTATCCACTTCAACCTAATTAGATTCTAATTCATTCAATTACATAAGTGGAATTCCTTTCTAAAAGCACTGTATTTAATTAAAGACTCCACAAATCATTTTACTAGACCAAGTACTAATATTTATCTACAACTATAATAATTTTTTAATATTTATATTTTTGATTCATTCACACATATTTTTAATGAACTCATAAACAGCATGTTGGTTGGCCATTACAGAGCTTGCTTCATAGAAATAGTAAAATATGCAAACGAAGGTTTATTTACTGAAAAAGTTTCTAACAGTATTCAGTTCAGTTGGAACTGTTAAATACTCCATGTTTGAAGTCAATCGATAACATGCCTCACAATATAAAGTTACTGTGGTAAAACAAACCTGTGTGGACAGCCCACATGATTCGAAATGCAGGTCCTCCTATATCATCAAATGGCTTTCGTCTGGTAAGTACCTCCCACAAGATTATTCCCCAGCTGAAAACATCACATTTTTCACTATATTTATTGCCTGAAGAAGAGAAATAAAACATGAACATTTGACCAAAAACATTAAGAAAACAAACAATTGATATCAAGAGAAGTATAGTAGATGCAAAAACAATCCTTTGCATATAAGCATCTTTATAGAAGAAATACTGCTATGATTCCAACACACGTTTAACAAATTATAGCTCATAATCAGAAGTGATTAACTAAGCCTAAGATACATTGTTTAAACCTTCAACATGTTACAAGAGAAAATTCTGTAAATTCATTTCATTATTATTATTAAAGGTATTTACTAAATTCTTAAAAAAGAAAACAGAATAATATACAACGGTACTAATACCATCATATTTTACAATTCATAATTAGTAGATATATTTAAGTTGACTGGTAGTTTGTGTGACATTACATCACACTAATACTGATAATAATTTTGAGCAAAATCTTTCTTTACTAGCTCTATGTGGTTTCCAGTAAGAGTGTAATATCATCTCGACCACACACTGCTACTGAGAAGGACTTTTGCTCCATACCAGAATTCATTAGGTTGGCTGGCATCCAGCCCTGAAAGCCTTGATCGATGTATATCAGTCATGTTTTTATTAATTACTATGGTATATAATACCTCAAGCATAAAAAGCAAAAAAACACACACCGTAAACAGAAGTTGGAGAAACTAGTTTTGAAACATTTGGGTGTCCTCTCCAGTCTCACATTTATTACACTATTTTCAATGATGTTATTCAGTTGTGACTAGTGAAATTGCAAATTATGAGGTAAACTTTATGTTTTTTAGCTTATGTAAAGTACATAGGAAACAAATTGACTCTTCAATATCCCTACGACCTTTACAGTACCTTATTTAGTATTCTACAAAAGGTTTGGGTGCAATATACCAATCCATTTTTGTTGTAGGCTAGCATGAGAATAATAATAAGAGGAATTACAAACGGGCCATTGTGAGAATATTTTTCTTTATTTGTAAGTCTAACATGCATGCTTTTTTTGTGCATTTTTATATCAGTACAGCCTTAGCAGTCAATAGTAAGGATTTTGAAGTGTTTTTTGAACTGACTCTTTATTGTTTGAGGTGCTTTTTGCCAGAGCATTCTATTAGGGTTTTGTGCAATTCCTTACCATCCCTATTATGAACAACTATCATGGTTCACGATATTACTTAATAATTTTGCTGTATTCCTTCTAAAAATACATCACTTCAAGCAAACATGAGGAAATTCGATGACAAGGAACCCACTTTGAGACTAATAATGGTTGGAGACAAATTTAATGGGTAATAAAGAAAAACTTTTAATATAAGTTTAACATAACAGCAAATGTACAAGGTTTTTTCATCATCAGGTACTCAAAAAACCATAGTATGTCTATTAAAAACACAGTCATTTTAAACAAAGAACCCAACATAAACAAACGAAAAATCAAGGAATCCATCTTAATTGA